AAGCACAGAGGGTCCCAAACAAGAGGAACCCAAAGAGGCCCACAGCAAGACACATCATCATTAAAATGCCAAAGGTTAAAGACAAAGAGAGAATCTTAACAGCAGCAAGAGAAAAGCAATTAACTACCTACAAGGGAGCACCCATACGACTGTCAGCTGATTTCTTAACAGAAACCTTGTAGGCCAGAAGGGAGGGGCAAGAAATATTCAATGTGATGAAAAACATGGAACTACAACCAAGATTGCTCTCTCAGCAAAGCTATCATTTAGAACTGAAGGTCAGATAAAGAGCTTCTCAGACAAGGAAAAGCTAAAGGAGTTCATCACCACCAGACCAGCACTACAGGAAAAGTTGAAGAGTCTTCTTTAAGAAGAAGCTAATGAACAAAAGAATCTGATGAACTAAATAGATCCCCTCTCCTCCCCTCCCCTCCCCTCCCCTCTTTTCTCTTCTTTCTTTTTTTCAACTAAGTAAACTGAGACCCAGAAAGGTGAAGTAATGATTAAGGCTCACACTGTATTAGTGACACAACAAGGACTGAAACTTGTGTTTCCTGACTCACAAACTCATACCCGTTTTCATTATAAACTCCAAGCAGGGCCCAAGTTGCACGCAGATGTACACTTGATGCAAGGAGGAATTAGTAGGGCTGGTGAGAAGCTGTCACATCACTCAATTTCTCGATGAATAGTTTGAAATGGGGGGAATGACTTTCAATTCTAGATACCTAAGTCCCTATAACTGTAAAAGGAGATAGTTGTTTTTTTAGCTAAAGCTGATGATGGAAGATACATAATGAAAATTAAGCATATAAAATAAAATCCTAAAAATCCCTAGGTAGTTAATATTATTTGTAAATCAAATTTTATGTTTCAAATAAAGACTTCTAAAATGATGATTATAAAGATAGAAGATTTTTGCAAAAAAAAAAAAAAAAGCTGTTTTTTTCAAATTAGGAAAGAAATCTTCTCATCACAAAGAAAAGAAGGGCTCCAGGTCACATCAACAGAAGCTTTGGAATTCTATTCTGCATTTATGAACCAAAGAGAGGCGGTGGCTGTGTATCCCATTGTGTATATTCAGCTACATTTTAGGTATATAGGAACTACAGGTTAAAAGTCAACATGAGTAAAAACAATTGTGTACTCTCTAAAGACTGAATTTATACTACATGCATAAATAACATGTTCCAAAGCTTCGAATGTAAGTATTATTCATAATACCCCAGCAAATAATATTGGCAAGTTGGAAACATTTCCATCCCTCATTTCTGCAGCATTCCATGTTATCTAGCAGCACAGAGATTGCAGTCCACATATGGCTGGCTTCGAGTACATAAATCTGCCTTTTAAAAATCTGTACTGCATCTGAAGAGAATTGGGGATAGCCATGGCAATGTTAGGAGCGTCACTGCTGAGAACTTCTGGGAAAGTTAACCAATTATATTACATTATGTGCATGCACCTATATAATGCAGATGGGCAAGAACGTAGGATCTGGTTGATTGTTAAGGTGACAATCAAAAGTGTTACGGAATTATCATGATCCAAAAGCTAACAACAAGAAGAAGCTGCAGTGTCTGTGATCTATATCATAACCCTCTCAAGAGCTTAGTCTGATTATCTTCCAGATATCAATGAGGGAAAAATTCAGCCAGAGGAATTATAGGCTAATGTCAAAGAACAAAGAGGACACCTTGAAAAGACGTTTCCGTGCTCTGGTGCCAGGTAGAATGAGCGCTAGGCAGATTCACAGCTGCTCTGCTCTGTTGGCTAAGCCTGGCATCCGAACGACAAACTCATTAAGCTGGTGGTTAAGCGAGAGGTGTTAGAGAAATGAAAAGCAAATTAACCGTGGGATGAGGCTACCAACCTCTTGCCTGTCGTCCGGGCCCACAGCCTTCCTGCGCTCCAGGGCTGTCCTGTTGCACGCTCCAAGGGACTAACTGGCACCTGCGCCATTTGTGTGTCTTCCACCTACAAGAAAAGAAACTTTACTGAGAGGAAGCAAAAATGCCAGGCAAATCAGAGATATGGTGATATGGAAACAGGGCTTTGACCACTGCAAACAGAAGTTTATTTGACAATGCTCAGTCCTATCTAAATTTAATTTAGATCTCCAAGACTTTATAAAAAAGCAGCTTAAATATAAAAGTACTTTCTATGGCAGTGGAGACAGAGTCCATCATGGTCAAGTTCTATAAGAGTAAACTCTACAGAGANACTTTCTATGGCAGTGGAGACAGAGTCCATCATGGTCAAGTTCTATAAGAATAAACTCTACAGAGAAGATGTAGCCATCTTAATGATTAGATGTACCAGATGAAACCAGAAGTGATGCTTTCTGTTTAATCGAGGTACGTTTATTTTATAGTCGAGTTATAAAACTGCATTCATGTCATGAGCCTTTTGTACAGTGTTATTTTGATTAGCATCATAGCAGTAACCCGGAAACTGAAATTATAATACTCTTTACAAAAACCAATCCGTCAAATAAATGCATTTGGTCTAATAGTTGTCAGTGTTCACCGTGTAAACATGCAATTATACTATTTGTCATAATTATACTATTTGTCAGAATTAAATGCAGATAAATTAAGATGGCAGATCTGCCATCAATGTCACCTTAAATTGCTATTTTGTGATCACACATTCCATCAATGGATGCCACAATATTTCACTTGTTGTCAGGATTGCAATTACATACCTTGTCAAGCTCTTTTCATAGTTCTGAGAAAATACTTCTCTAATAATTATAAGACGATGATATATAGCTTCAATAACCTTAATTTTCTTTGAGGTGGCCAAAGATGAATAGAACATCTTACTAGCATCATTGAGATAAAGACGTCATTTCGAGAGCAAGGATGCCAGCATTTAGGAGCCAAGGGGGGAAGGCTTAGGCTATTCCTCTAAGTGAAAAAAATTGCTTCCTAAAACATATGTTTCATAATTATTAACAACTTCTCTGCATTCCTTATAGTTCACATCAACATAATTTTTTCCTAACTCCTGGAGCTAATAATAGAGTGTGGAAATTTATACAAGTAATTGTCTCTCTAGAGATCATTTCAGTAGGAGAGCAGCTCTTTTAAAAAAGCAGGAGATGGCACATAGAGCTATAAACATCCCAAACTCCACTGAGCCTGCAGATGGGGCTGGACTTGAAGTATTTTTTTTTTAAATATATCTTTATTAATTTCAGAGAGAGGAAAGGAGGGTGAGAGAGAGATAAACATCAATGATGAGAGAGTCATTGGTCGGCTGCCTCCTGCAGGGCCCTGACTGGGGATCAAGCCCGCAACCCGGGCCTGTGCCCTGACCGGGAATCAAACCCTGGTCGCCTGGATCCTGAGTCGATGCTCATCCGTGAGCCACACCCGGCCGGGCGGGCTTGAAGTATTTTGCTCAGTGTATCGGTCACATGCTTTCTCTTTCACGCGTTACCTGTAGCTCTGGCACACTGGCGGGGCCTCGCAGGCCTTCTCCTCGTAGAGGGGATCTGCGCAGTCCCTGCCCCCGTTGGCTGGCAGCTGCAGGATGACGCGGTGCCGAGACTGCTTCTTGGCTCCGGAATTCCCTGGAACGAGGCAGCTTTTTAAGCTCTGAGAAAAGAAACCTCCGAACACCATCCCGTGTGAAGAAAGGACATTGTCTCCAGCTATACAGGCTTTGACATCCCTGCATGAGAGGCCGCATCTAGTCTAATCATTTCCTAAACTCTCCCCAAGACCGCTTACATTGAAAACCTGATCAGTTGATACTTAAAAATGTGAAGAATGAATAAAACAGTTCCATAGTCAACCAGGCTTCCTAACACACAGTCGCAAAGTAATTGCTCTTTTGTATGTTCCTTTCCCCTTGAGAAATATGACAGCTCCAATTAATTTATTTTCCTCTACCTTAAGTTTATTTTCATGCCATTTCGCATAGCCCTGTTCACCACACGGGTCTCATACACATGTAATGAATCCTTCTTGGGAGAATATATTCCAGGTTTTAATGTGAAATTTTATTTCTTTGTTATCCACTTAATTTGAAATGCATAACTCATAAATTATTCTAGTCATTTATTATTCATGTTAAACAGTCTAAGATCTTCAATTCAGGTCACATTTTAACATCGGGGCTGTAAGTAGTGAAATGAAAGTCATTTCCTAAAGGCAGACTTTTTAGAGAAGCATTCGAAATAGCAATAATTACTCTAAGTAAATAACTCCCAATTTAAAAAACTAAAGGAAATAAGATTTATCTACAATGAAGAGATCAACTTGACAGCATTATTGATATAAAGATGTTCAAAATTTTTTAATATTAGAAACAGATCATGTATAATAAGACTTGCCAACTTTAATAAAAAAATACTCCAACTTATAATAAATACACTTTAGGGATGAACAGCCGCATGGCACAGTTTCACTCATAAAAGAATTCCCTAAAGAACTGTTTTAATGGAGTTCCTGCGATGCATTTAAATTTTTTTGCAAGATCATTAAATACTTAATATGGAGACTACAAGAACAGAGAAATTCAGAAGGGTTAGCAGGCCCGAACAATGAAAGTTTAACCAGAAATGAAATGAAACATTCTTAAAGTTATTATGTTAGCAGAAAAATATGATTGGACAATTAGAACTTTCCAATAATGAAACATCTTTTCTCATGAAGTTAAGGTGTCCCTCAACGTGGTCTGGGCACCTGACTCCCAGCAATGTGGATTGGAGATTCCTGTGTTGGACAAGAGAATGGATCAGATTAGTGATTCCCAAATGCCTGGCTGCATAGGATAATTTCTTTAAAAAGACAAAAACAAAAATATATCTCCACCTATACCCTGAGTTGCTAAATCAGAATTTTTGGGAGCTGGGCTTGAAGTTTACAAAGCTTGCCAGGGAATTGTGATGAACACCTAGGTTTAAGATCTATCTACAAGAATAGACGACCTTGTATGCCTTGTCCCAATTTCAGATTCTAGGGTTCACATGTGACTTTTTAGGATTATTCCCATTGTGGGGGAAACCTGTACTATTAATGGTTGTATTAACTATATTAGTGAATAATTGGACTACTAGAGGTAATGGAATGGGGAATTAGGGACTGGAGGTAGTGAGTAGCAGAGGACTAAAGTATCTGAAAATACTATCATGGATGTTTTTAGTTTAACAGTAGTAGTCTGAATGCTAGCTTCAGCTTCTACATGTTAAATATCATTTATCTAGGGAAGATCTAAGAAATGCCAATAGGACTTTTTATAAAATTGCTACTGCAACCTCTATCCATTTTATTATCCAATGACTCCTATTTTTAAGGCTCAGGTGATAAATTCCTCTAATAATTTAGAGCTAGGAAAAACTTTGTTTCCCCTGACAATCACTTAAGAATCCACTGTGCTTCTATTTTTTGCTTTGCTCACCAGAATCTCAGAGCTAATTTTCTTCTCACTTGCAGGAGCTTACCTTACCTCTGATTTGATAGAATAATCTTTCTCTTCTTCCCTCATTTATTACTTGACTCCATTCTTCTTTTACACTTTCTATTATTTTTTTCTTTTGTTCATGATCTGTCATTAACCTTTTAAAAAGAGTAAACACACTAAATGGCCATTCTTATCATTTGTTTAGCTTTGGGGAAAGGGAGGAGGTGTTTGTTTTTTAATAGGGAAAAGATGAAAAGATGACAGAGGAGCAGGTCTTTGCTTCCCAGGGTGTCAATCACTCTTCAACCCTCTCCAACGGCAGGTAGACAACAGACATGGAATTGGGAACAAGGGATCCAGAGACTGCAGGTGACTGTGAGTTCAGCATCAGTGGCACCTTACAGACTGAAGCTTTGGGTCCTTAACTATGTAAATGTCACCTGGTACATAGGTAGGGCTGTTCAGATTTGGGAGGCAGCCATCAAATGTTAGTGTTTCATTTCTACTTTGTTTATTGACTTGAAAGCAAAAAGCCACCTAATGTCCCGCTCTGAAATATGCTAGTGCCCTCTCAACAACATCTGCACAAGTTTGTATTTAATATATAAGACTATGATAACTCTCACAATTGGCTCCACCTTGGCAATCCATTTATTTCTATAAAGAGTTCAAATGCCTTAACCTGGTGCGGCCCATGGGATACAGATTCAAGTGAAACATTTCAAAGGCATGACACCTAGAGAAGAAGTTTAATGGAGTTACCCAGGAACTGTCATGACATCCATATTCCTACCCACTTAGAGGCTCGCTTCTTCTCAGATCTCAGTGAAGAAATTACTTGTACACTCGAAGAAACAGATTGTAGAGCTCACCCAGGTTACAGAGCTCTTGAATCAAAGCACAGACAAAGGGAGAGCTACGGTGCACTTGAAAAGGTTGCTCACGAACAATTTGAGTGGGCAAACTGGAATTTCATAACCTTCATAATATCCTGTATGACTTACACCAATTTATTATATGTGGTTAATATACATATATAGTTTCCATTTATCTTTTGTGTTTTAGCACCTAGAATAATAGTCACACGTAGTAAAGACTTAATAAATACTTGATGAGTGAGGTGAGCAAACACATTTATTTCATTTCTTCTTAACTGGCTTATTAACATCTTCTATTTATTTTAATCCATTTCCTTATAGCAGTAAAAACCTGGGGACTAAGCCTGTGCGTTGAGGATCAATAAAAAATAAGGTATCATTCTGTCCATTGGAAATAATGTGCATGAGAAAAATAAAGGACTATTCATGTGGTGATTATAATTGAAAATACTCATCCAGGAAAGGAATAGAGGAAAAAAGGACTGTATATTCAGAAAACAATTATGTGATAATGGGGCCCATAGATTCAGAGGGAATGTAACACCTCACACAGTTACAGCATTTTTCAGATACCTTAAGACATTCAAGATAAATTTCACTAAAGACATTACTTGGTGGAAGGATTTAATGGGCAGGCAAAACTAAGGTGTGTTAAACTGGATGTGGGAGCAATAGCAGGCTGGAGGAGCATAGCGACAGGAAATTGGAAAAGAAATGTTTCATGCAAGAAGCAAAATGTAAAGGTATTTTTCCTATCTTTGGGGTAATTCTAGGATAGTATTGCTTAAGGGCATCAAGGTAGAATAGATGCCTCTGCAATATCCCTTCTAGCTCTCAATATAGTGTGAAAAGGGAGTGAACAGAATTTGAGCAGCTAAATGTATTATTTGGTCAAAAGTATTGTTTTTTTTTAAAGATTAGAGTTACAAATAATTTATATGCATAAGTGTTTCCTTTTTTAAAAAAAACACCCTTTGTAAAATTTATGAAAATTTGAAAAACAGTTAACAAGTGCACTGGTTGAAGGATTAAACTACTCTATTCAGTACTGATCTTTATAGGCATTGATTTTTCAGGACGTTATCTTGAGAGAGGGCTGAATAACATTTTGAATAACTCATTTTTGTTCTTTGCTGGGATGCTAAGCTATTCTGTTCCATTTGCCACAATACTAAAGAGTAATTTTTCCTCTTTAAATGATTTTTTTTAAAAGAGGTTAGCCCCACACTTTCATTAATTCAAAACTCTTATAAACTTTAGACTTCACCTGCAGAATTAAATTTAGAAGAACCATCCCATCCTTGAATTAATTTTCTTTGCTGTTATCTATCCTTGAACATTCAACTTTGTTTTGCATTTTTAATTGTGTGCGAAAGTCAGTGTAATTTCAATGAAACTTGGACCATTCCCATTTCATACAAAATAATGAAAACCTAACCACATATCATCGCTTTATTTTCCTTACAACAAAGGGCTGGTTTTCTATAACACCATTGTATCCTATTCTTAGTTACAGGCAAAACGAAGGAGGCTTCTCCAGGAGCACAAAGCATCTTGGCACTGTTGTCCAACAGCAATCCCTCTTCTACCCCCTAGTCTTTATTTCCTCAGTACTCATAGTTACACTTAAAAAGAGTCTAGTGCCTAGATTTAGGGTTTCTGAAAGCCTTTCATCATAGGAGACTCAATCAACATAGAGCTGCCAAAGAGAACAGGCAGGGCTGATCTCCTGCTCTTGGTGAGATGACCGGCACTCAACCAAACACAGCCCTGCCTTTCAGAGAGTCCCTAGCTCACAGGACAGCAGTTTTCCGAGCCGGCATTCCTATACTCCTGGTCACCACCACCCCAGGATCCCCAGGGGAGAACAGTATCATAGTGGCACTTTAATTTAGAGAAGCTACCTGCCCACCCCCAAGAGACTATGGCAAGTAAACCCATTATATCTCACATGCCAGTTACTCCCCACAAGAAACTAGCACCCTTCTCCCCACACTCCCACCCCCAAATATCTTCCATCGTCACCTGGACCCACAACACTATCTACATCCATACCCCAATTTTCAGTTCCTCATTGTTTCCCATCCTCTAACCCTTCCACCACCGCACCCACTGGATCTCATGTTTTCCCATCTCTCTCTTAGAAAGTTTCCTTCACACTCTTTGCAGTGGAAGCTGACTCTACCTAGCCATTTCCCAGTCTTTTTTTCTCTTTTTACCTTTAAAAATCTCCAACTCCTCTTTAGCTCCTGTCGTCAGCTTTATCATTAGCTATCTACTTTGTAGCAGTTATCTACCAATGCTTCATTAATTAATGACTTTAGAATGTCATTTACTGTGATCTTTTCTCTGGCTCTGTCACCTCTTTGGTGGCTCCACATGATTATTGTATCCAGGGCACTTTACTCTGAATTACTGAACTTCCTCACCTCCAATGACCTCTTTCTGCAGCTCACATCAGTTACTAGCTCTTCTGTTCACCCTTTGATGTTATCATTATCATCGGTACCTGCACACTCATCTTCATATATTTTACTTTCTGGTCACTCCTCCTAACCTTGCAGTCACTTACTTTAGTTCTCATTTTACTAAAATTATTCAAACTCAATTAAAATGGCCAACCCAATTCCCGCATCACTTTTCCAGTATCTATCATCCCTTTCATGACCTTAGTTCCATTCCAACCCTACCTAGATTCCACACTCCATTATTATTGGAAGTACTCCCTTGAAAACATCTTTGACTTCCTGTTCCTCTCTCCCTTTTTTGTACTATCCTGGAAAAGTCCCAATATTAATCAAAACCAATTATTTTCCTATACTTTTCCTGCACTCAGTCAACAGAAGATGAACATGGCTGGAGAAACACTGGCAATTGTGTTTAGGACGCCCTTTTTAAAGACATGACTAAATGGGCACTAGTTGCCTAGAAATTCTACTACACGTTATTAGCTTGTCCACCTTTGCACTCTCCAAAAGGATGTCACATCTTCTTCTCTTTCCTCAAATCCCCTGCACCCTTCTCTTGACCTTTCACACTCAAAGAAATTAGAATAATCATTAAATGCCTTAACTGCATTGAAGCACCAGAATGTAAGCTTCCCGAGAGCAGGAACATTGGTTTCTTTGTTTACTGCTATAGCCTTTATATTTAAAATGTGCCTGGCACATTTTAGTTACTTGAAATATTTTTATAGAATGAAAAAGTTAAGGGTTTTTAAAAATAATATGTGATATGAATAATTGAAAACCAATTTACCAATAAATTTACCAGAATATCGTCAATAAACAATAATCAGAAATTTATATTAATATATTTTTCCTTATCATCTAAATACTTCTCTCAAACTGATACATAATTAAACTTCTAAGAAAGATTGCTTTCAGCATATCAAATTAAAACATTTACTACATACTGACCATATGTAGTGTCTAATGCCTTTACTACAGGAACTTATCACTATAGACTAGACAGTAACTAATATGTCAAATGAACCATGGATCACAAAGCATAGAGCACTTTATTATACACTATTTCATTTGCACCATAGAGTGACTCATAGATGTTATAACCAAGGCTTGGAGAGCTTAGGTATCTTGTCTAAGATCACTTGACTGCTAAGTGGCCAAGGTGGGTGTCTAAACCAGGTTTGCTGATTTCAAAATCCATTCATTGCATTATACCATAAAACCCATTACTCATTTCTATATTCAAAAACTAAAAATTGTGTCCCTCTACATATAAGTCTAATTAGGCCTTCTATAACCACTTCCATTCTCTTTCCCAATTTCACATCTCGACTTTCCTTCACATGCTCTGAACTCCAGCTGGCTGGTTCCCACTCTCTTCTTGAACAATGCCTCTTCCTTGTGGTCCTTTAAAGACTTTTCCTGATGCTTTTGCTCCCACAGTGCTTTTTCCCTTTCCTTCCTTGGAGTTCTTTCTATTTTACTGCTAAATCTTGTTACTGAATCATGTAAATCTTACATTATATGATTTATGTAGAAGAATTCTATATATTTTTTATTGATTGTAGAGAGAGGAAGGGGGAGAGAGAAACATGGATGTGAGAGAGAAATATCAATTGATCGCCACCTCTCCCCACTACCACCAGCATGTGCCCCAAACGGGGATGAACCCGAAACCTGGGTATGTGCCCTGATCGAAATCGAACCCACTACCTTTTGGTGTATGGGACACCAACTATACACCAAACCATCCAACCAACTGAGCCACACTGACCAGGACGAAGAATTCTATATTTTAAATGAGATCAAAAGCTTCCTTAAAGTCAGGAACTGTGTCTTTTCTACAGGGCCATCAATGTGCAAGTAATATATAGAAATCGATAAATAAAAAAGTCAGTAAGTATTTATTCATATAGTACGGATGAGTATTAATTTAATTAACACATGCATAGCATTCACAATATATTTGTTCCCTCATCTACCTGCTAAATTTTTTTTTAAAGTGCCTTATATAACTTATCACAGTTTGTCACATAAATTTTAAAAAATTTTAAAGATGGCCAAACAGAAAAGCAAATCACTTTTTTAGTACTATAAATATCATTAGCAGAGATCAAATTAAAAATGATGTTATTTAATTTTCCATTACAATTTTTTATAAGTTACAACTATTACCTTCTTTCCTTCCTAGACATATATTATGCATAAGATCACAACTGCATTTTCAAGAGCTTACAGAAGAAAATTTATAGGCTACTAACTGGTTCTTAATTCCTGGATGCAATCCAATATTCCAAATTATTTTCAAATGAAAGTCTAAAGAAATGAGAAAATTTTACCTGGTTCCTCATTTTTATGAGTGACTATCTGAGAATCAATTTAATGGAATCATTTTTTAAACCTTTTTTTTTTTATTTCCTTGAAATACTTTAGACCAAGTCAACTTTTATTTTAAATACTTTACTGAATACGAGGAAACACCCAATGTAAGGAAAGCAAAGTTTTTTCCCCACTTTCAAAAACTTCACTTAAAATGTTAATTTGTGTTAAATTATTAACCAAAGGGTTATAAATGTAACCGTGTATGTTTTGGAATTATTAGTAAGTGACCTTACTATCATGCTAACACAAAACATCAAGTATAAAATTATCAAGAATAAAATTTCCAAGCATATGAATTTTGTGTAATAAATAACCTTTTTCATTGTAATGATGAAAACCAACATTACCATAGAAATACTAACCTATTAGAAAGAACAATGACCAAGCCAAAGTATATCATATGTTTAGGGTTTAAGAAAATAAGGGGATAAGAGAAGAAAACTTGAAAAAAAAGTCAGAAAAATGACATTGCTTTATTAGTAATGTTAATGCAATTAGCATTTTTTAAAAAGTTAATACCAATTCCTTTTGCCCCCAAAGCTTTTTAGATACCTTAAAAACTTTTAAAATAAAACATTTCTATTCATGGTGACTTTGTAGTTTAACTTTGTTTGATAATTCCATGGTACTTAAAGGAGAAAAAGTTTCAACTATATTGCCCGGCTAGGCGTGGCTCAGCAGTTGAGCGTCAACCTAGGATCCCGGTCAGGGCACATGCCCGGGTTGCGGGCTCAAGACCCCATCGGGGGCGTGCAGGAGGCAGCTGATCAATGACTCATCATTGATGTCTCTCTCTCTCTCTCTCTGTTGGGAGAGTAAAACAGAAGACNCAGCAGTTGAGCGTCAACCTAGGATCCCGGTCAGGGCACATGCCCGGGTTTCGGGCTCAAGACCCCNCCGGTCAGGGCACATGCCCGGGTTGCGGGCTCAAGACCCCATCGGGGGCGTGCAGGAGGCAGCTGATCAATGACTCATCATTGATGTCTCTCTCTCTCTCTCTCTGTTGGGAGAGTAAAACAGAAGATAGGAGACAGTGACATTTGTGACCATAAGAGAAAATTTGTTCAATCAGTGCATAAGTCATCTGGAGGATGTTGCTATCTCTTAGCAGCCAATGAGAAAGAACCCTAACCTCCAGGGTAAAGAATTATCAAAGTATCTGCCATGATACTAAAGATACTAAAGAATCTTTGTGAGTACTAAAAGGGGGAAACAACAAAAACAAAATGAGAACAAATCGCACCTTGTAAATGCCTCCTGGCCAGAGGAAGAATCTGATCATTTTTCTTTCCTTTAATCCATCCTTGGGGTGCATAACTGAATCTGCAGTGAGTCTACCTGATGCCAGGGCTATTTCTCGCTATTAAGTAGGTTGGAAGCTATGAGTATTGACAAGATCACTGCCCACTCTTTTTGAAATACATGAGGCCACTATACAGTCTTTTAAAACTAATGTTAAACACTGTTAATATAATACCTAGAATCCTCTCACTTTGACTTACACTGTAAAGTTTTGAGTCAGTTTTGGCATAGAACTCATTCGTTTGATACTCTCAAGGTCTATTATTCTCTACAAGGAAACCAAAATTGTGTGGCATTCATGGCAAACCAGGATTACAGAGCCCCACGTGAGAATCACAAACTTGGCTCAGCCAGAGCACAGACGTGCTGGTGAGTGGTTTTCCAGGGGAACAGCTTCGGGAACCCTGCAGGTCATTACCTTCTTTACACGAGGAAGGGCAGGATGTCCAGTCGCTGTATGGGGTCATGACGCAGTCCTTCCTGCAAGGAAGCAGGCAGGGCCTCACTGTTTCAGGCCGAAGGCTTTCAGGACACCTAGGAAAACACGCAAAGGGGAATGACTAGGCCTCTTAGTAATCCCGAAAACCAGGTAATTCAATATGGTTAGAATTTTCATTGCTAAAATTGCTAAATAGTCACCAGCCTGTGTTATTTAACTTCCAGGAGCTTTTGACAAGAACTTTACAGCTACATTCTTCCAAACTGGATCTCAATACAGGATGTGTGATTTTAACAATTATAATTGTGCTACCTAGGACAAAATGTAATAATTATAACTTATTCCCTTATAATAATCTGCACATTAATAACTTTGTGTTTTCTTACATGCTTTTAAAAAATCTTTGTAGAGATTAAAATTACCAATTTAAGGACACAAATCTACATCTTTGTATAACTAGATGGGCTTACTGAAGATTATAAATTTTCAGGTTATTCTGCAACTTTTACAAAATATGTATAGCATAACAAATTTATAATGGAATATATTTTATACCCAGTACATGCTAAAAACAAAGTTGTATTTATGGCTATATATTTCATAATAAATAATAAAATAATGAAAGTGTATAAGTCATTATGATAAGCAATTGTTGCTTTATTCCTAGTTTCACTTAATATATTTTCTCCCATTACATTCCTAGCTTCAAATTATAAAAATTTTAGTATCTTAAATAGTTTTGCCTGGCTGGAGTGGCTCAGTTGGTTGGAGCACCATTTGGTATATGGAAAAGTCGTAGGTTCGATTCCTGGTCAGGGCACGCACCCAGGTTGTGGTTCAGTCCCCTGTCCAGGTGCATGTGGGAGGCAACCGATCAATGCTTCACTCTCACATCAATGTTTCTCTCTGTCTCCCTTTCCCTTCTGCTCTAAAATCAATAAAAGCATGTCCTCAGGTGAAGAATAAAAAAAAAACTTTAGATATTTTTATAAGTTATAGTATTTCTTGGAACAAAAAGAGTAAATACAAATAAAACAAAAATAGTCCATCAGTAATTTAAAGAAAAATAAAACACTGTGTTCTTGACATAAATTATGGTAAAGTTAACCAAATTATTATTAAAAAATAGAGCAAAAATATATTATTTATGAGGAGTGCAAGAGAAACATAATGACAAAACACTGAAATGTCTTATGTTGTATAAGGTTTTCACTCCTTAAAGATAATTTTAGGGAGCTGATATATGTTTTAAATATACTGTCTTGTTCATGGTATACTGCATCTTTATAATCTGATTCTACTATTGCTAGTAGTCAAATGTTGGCCATGAGCATTAACATTAGAAAAAGATGTATATTAGGACAACAGAACATGATAACATAATTCACGTAACTAAATGTAACACTCAGGAAATACTCTTTTGAGGTCATATAAATCATTAACAAATAAACTAAGAGGCACCGAAGAAATAAACCAAACAACCAGTGAAACTGTTGATGAAATAACTTGGGAAATTAGTGAAATATGGGATTTAAAACTATTACCCATGGGAGAAGCCAAAATTTTTTGTAGGTCAAGATAAATTGTGTTTTAATAAGTAAGTTAATCAGGTTTTCAGAACAGAACTATGAGTGAAAAAAACAACATCATTAATCTCTTTCCCATAATTTCTTTATAGCACCTTGCTGATGCTTCATTTTAGGTACCTTGTATTATAATCATTTGTCTACATGTTCTATCTCATACATAAATATTATGTTCTATTCAATTATATAGATACATGTTTTGCTCTCTCACTCTATAACATTAGGGTTTATTTGGCAGTGAATTTAAATAACATACTGTATCCAGCATTTCAAAAAGAAATGTCTCCCTAGATTATGTTAAGAATAAGCTCATGTTCTCCCAATTACTATTTCTACTCAAAGTCAGTGTATGACAAAGAAATTTAGCTGTGAATCACAGAATTTAAAGCATCGTTACAATTGAAACTATAAAGCACTAGAATTATCATTTAACCTTTACTCTTAACCAGGAAATATTATATATAGCAAAACCCCACATATAATCCAGTTCATTCTTCAGAAGTATGAAATTATTGATTAGTAATTATGATGGGAAGCACACTTTATCAATGAGGCAATTTTATAACTTAAACCATGAGAGAGCATTACTCAATTGCATGCTCTTCAAATTTTAGCCCTGAAAATCAGTGACATTTATAATGTTATCATTGACAACCTCCAAAATTTTGTTTTAGCTTAGAAATATCCACAGCAAGATACTTGGCTCACTGTTGAGAACAAAATTACCAACAACAAAGCCATTCAATGAACTCACAAAGGCAAATTATACAACCTAGATTCCATCCCATAAAATAAATTCAGACTTCCTTTGGCGAGGCAATTGGTTCGGTCAACAGGCTTCTCTTCCCTTTGTACTGTTTGCATTTAGTCTTTGTGGTTTAAATCAAGGAATTGATTTCCCCCCAAATCTTATTCAAGGTCAAATTAAACAGATGTGATAGGAGCTGAAGTTTGTTACTCGGAGGATAGATAAGATCAATAACATTGATTTTACCATTGCACAGTAATCTGTTTTATTAAGAGGAGTTTAAAGCAAGGTTTCTATTTGCATTTCTGTTTCAAATGCCTAGCGCTGAAAAGCATTCGTGGAATTGAACCTAGCATTTAGGCATCAGGGCGGTAACATTTTCTTTGGAATTTACAGGATTTGCTTACTTTTTCAGAACTTTAAGGGCAAAGTAAATCCATTGGACTTAACAAATCTATCCATGTATCCAGGTCACTGCATAAAGGCTGCAAGGGCAAAGCACATTCTTAATGGATTATTGTGGTGGCCTGACACGGGGCTTCAGGGTACCCTGCTTACTGAATGATTTAATGACATCAATCCAGCTGGCTTTTTCACACGTTTGCTTGCACACAGGAACATCCATTGTTCAGCAAAATATTTTGTAGTTTGCATAAGTGAGGAAAACATCAATAGCAACATTTGAAAGGTAATTAACTATAAAAGAGGAAAAAAGTGAGCTTACTCGTAGAAGCTCAGCACAATAACCCTCTATTCTGTGCCATGATAGGTTGGTCAGGTGAGAACCCTTTGCAGTGAATATTTCCACATCTGTGCTTGTCCCAGGAGGACCCAAAATCCTCCAGGACTTTGGATTTCTGCTCCCGCTGTTACTGCTATTAAATTTTAATACACTGCACATTAATTTTCTTCGTTAGATTCATCACAACTTTAGCATTATTTCTATTTAAATATTGGTTTGGGGCTACCTATTAAGCATCTGAATAGTTTTCCATTTGGTCAACTCTTTTTGCCGTATGTTTTCTAATATGTTTCCTAATTTCAAACTATATAAACAAAGTATGGGGCAAAATATCCCTCATATGTGGAATGCTGGCCAGGTAAAAACAACTCATAATGGGATTCTTACAAATCCCTTGGGGATTTTCATACATCAGGTACATTATTATCATTTCCCTCAAACACTAAGTAGCTCAAATTTTAAAAGAAAATAATTTCTAAGATTTATTAAGTGCTTATGTTACTACTATTTTCCCCCCATTAAATTCTTTCAATAAACTCTGACAACTGAGGCCATAATCTGCTAAGTAGGATGTTTATGATCACACGTAGTATTTAAGCAGTTGGCCAACTATTTGGAAATTATGAGGCCATTTGTATACCAAAGCAAACTTGACTGGGTTTACTTCCAATGTTTTATAAGGCTAAGATAATTTGAATTTTAAAAGATGTGTGCTGTCTAAATCCCAAAAGGTAAATAAGACTTTCCCCCTGAAAGGATTATATTTTTAGAATTGATTTATTAATTTTCTCTAAGGATGATAGCTTTGTCATAATTTGTTTTTGTTTATATTTCTCACAAGGCACATACAATATGCCAGCTCTCTAGTTCTTTGTCCACCCCTCTAGCAAACTGTTTGCCCTGTTACTACACTATTTGTAACCACAGTAAGAAACTGATGGTTTTTTTACTTATCATAACACTCATCCTATCCCAAGGCTCTCTCTTGGATGTAAATAGCTTATTCATTTAACGATTGAAAGATGTAATAAGTTCAGCCTCAGTATTTTTGATATAATATTTTCTAGGGGAAACGAAAGGCAGATCATAGAAGGTTACTGCTCAATTAAACTAGATTGTCAGTCTCTGCAGCTTACGGGTATATAGGAGGTCATGGATGACCTACACTGTTAGGACTTCGTATACTGTCATTATTGATCAGCCAGGCCTAGAGCAAGCACTTCTTTCATTGCCTCACTAGCTTAATAAAAGCAGAAAGTGCTACTATAAAACTGAAAGTAGGTATCACACAGAAAGGTTTCCACAGAATTTATGGATCCCACACACAGGACTCTGAAGCTGTTATAACTTTATCAGTGGCTGACATTCAAAACAAACAAATCTTACTCTTGAGGACAGGTATGACAAACATCAAAATGTTCCATTTCATGAAGCAAGTGAAGCCTGAGCCAATCCCCTGCATGGATGGCCACAGGATTTACTGCTGACATTCCAAAGCCCTTACTTTTTGGGTCCCACTTGGCCCACATTGACCCGCACACAGATGACTTTTCTTGTCTGCATGCCAACAGAGCAAGAGGCCTCCCTGTTCCAAGCTGCTGTTGTGTTGAAGGTGGATACCGAGGTGTCCTCAATGCACTGGCCCCACAGACCAGTCTGCCAGTGATACACAGTACAGGGATGCTCGTTACAGCTGCGCACCTCTTGCAAAGCACTCGTATTCGGACAGTGAGTTCCACCTATAAAGATGAACAAACAGCAGATGAGAAATGGTGCCAACAGAAACCTTATCATTCTCTGTTTCCTGAAATTAACAATAACAATGATCTGTTACTCGTTAGCACATAGAATATGACCAGGACATTGCTGGGAAGGCAAATTATATATTAATCTTACCTCATTTGGCATGGTCTGGATAAAACTTAAAACTATGTGGTGTACATGATATCTGTTTTGGGGGATGATGGAGGACCTCAAAGAGAGAGGGCACAGTTCTCCAGAGAAGCTGAAAGTGAGGTACAAATGAAGCCATTGTGATTGCTGACTGGGGAAATACGAACATTAGACTCTGTGGATGGAGAAAATCTAGTGTGTTTTTAAATGCTTTTCCCCAAATTGAAAGTCTTAATTACAACTTTTAAAGTGCTGCTTATTTTAATGTATTAGGCTTTAGGGTGATTAGAAACAGGAGTTTTAAAATCAATGACTGCTTACTGATCTTCCATAGCATTACTGGGAAAGCCCTGCAGTAATGGTAATACTGTATTTCTTCAAATCTAAGATGTCACTGGCTGTGAAATATACCATCACTAAATGTGTCCCAAAGAAAGAGAAATGGTTGCAAATTAAACTATAATACAATGTTTTTTTAATCAACTCTAATTTTTATTGTATGCTTATTGAAATACCTTTGTATGACTATTTACACAGCTTTTAAGAAATACATTCTTTTGCATACATGAAAAGAGAAGGTATTCCTAAAACTTCTTTACATTCACAGTCCAAATCTTTCAAGTCACTGCTTAACACACACTCACCGACGTTTGTGTTCTCCTACACAGTATTATCTCTGTGGCACCAAAACTGTTGATGATGCAGGACTTCTTTAAAGAAGTACTCCCCTGCTGTCTCCAAGGTTTTCCTTCAGGATACTGGTACCCATCTCTAAGTTTTCATTCTGTTGTATTCTTAATGGTGCCAGTGATGCCAATGGAAAGTTTAAGCAAGCAATTGAGGAAGAGTTTATTTTCCTTCCTCAAATAGTCCTTGGTTGTTTTTGTTTGCTTGCTTTGGGCAGAAATAACCATGGGATCACTCATGCCATCAGGAATAACAACAAAATTCACAGGTACCACCAATGACAGCAATGTTACAACTGCTGCTTGGCCACAGTGGTTTTAAAATGTATCCACTGTAAGATGCAGTCATTACAGAGATGATAAAGGGTAAAAGAGATGTCTTTTCTAATCAACAGAATATGATCTGGAGCTGTCATTATGGAATCCTTTTTTATGTGCCAGCCCTATTATAAGTATTACTGAGACTTCGTTTTACATCCACAACTGGTTTTTACAAGTTGAAAAATCATAAAGTGGATGAGTCTGTACAGCTTAAATGATGTGGCCACAGTAACAGCTAGTTTAGGGAGTCCAGTTTCTTACCACTACGCTATTTATAATTCCAATTACAAAAATAAAAAGCAGTGTTGGACGAATTTACTACTCACTTTACTAACAATTTAATCTACTCAAACTTAAGTAGCTCCTGGATTTCATCTCAGGAGCCGAAAACAACTGGTTGTTAATGTGGAATGGTGCAAATCTTAGGTGTTCATCACAAATATTTATAATAGTAAATGAAAGAAATATTGGATATAATAAAAGGTGGATTTCAGATATAAGGAAAGCAAGTTTTAGAAAGTGAAAAATTAATAAGAAAATGTGGTTTAATACCTAGTGACTGTAACAGGGAAGGTGACCTCAGAAGTTTGGGACTTGGGTAAAAGTCAAAAACAAAACCACAAATCCACACCCTGAGCTGATCTTCAGGTATCACTTCTCTTATGAGTAAGGACATCCCTCTATTCAGCAAATAAATCAGTAGGCAACTTATGTGGGAATTTAACTGCGATTTAGAATCATCTATGCAGTGTCGAACACAGGATCAACACCGGGATAGCCTGCATTAAAAAGCACTTCATTAATGTCCCCTGCTTCACGAAGGTGAAAACATCTGTCATAGTTCATATTCCATCTTCCATTGCAAGGCCCAGAGAGCCGGGCAGCCTCCGAAAAGAAGTTTAAGATTTGAACAGGAACGAACCTAAAACTTACTAATAGCATTGGGGAAAAGTAAATGAGCGCCCTTATTACCCATTCCCTGAGGCTCTCATTTATCCAATCTTATCTCCCAGACAAAAACATGCTAATTACAGACCATATATATATATACACACACACACACACACACACACACGCTAATTACAGACCGTATATATATATACACATATATATAAAATAATTATTTTAACCATACATTTATGTTTAATAGCAAAATTACTGATCTACAAAAATGTGTTTACCTACCTCATTTTCACTGTGAGTACACGTACGCTGCTTAAACTGTAATTTTAAAACTCTGAATTGTTTTTGACACTGGGATTAACCGGTTGGCTTTGGAAAAACTGATAAGGAAATAAACTTCTACAACCTCAGCATAACGTGTGGAGGAACTGCAAAATAGCTGTTAAGTTTACAGACATAAAGGCTATTTATTTCCTTGCCCCAATCCACATTAAAGCCACATCAGCAATTTTGGTCTGATGTCAGGATACGTGTACAGATAAGCCCCAATGTGGTTTTAATTATAATAACGATATGGCAATTTCAAAAGCATGGCTTGGAGTCATCAGTCACGGCAGCACTGTCATGTTGTTTTGGGAATAATTTTATGGTAGAAAAATTGATAGATATAATACTGAATTTATTTATTATTCATGGGAAGAGCTAATGCCAGACATCTGGGAATGTTTCCATTGTACTGGGGAAATTATAAAATGTCATCCGTGACAAAATTAGTGATAAGTGTATTTAAAAACATTCATAAACGTTAAGTGATTATTTAGGCTTTCTATCATTTTTATCAAAGGGAGTTTATAATACTTCGATGGAATTCTGTCAAATAAATAAACTTCCATGCTCATTTAAAAATACCAACTATTATGTGAAACTGCTCTTTGAAATAAAAAAGTGACTTTTTTTCTCCCCAAATCAAGTCCATAAAGGCTTTGTTAGGATACATTTGAACAGACTTAGGATGTTTCTAGTTCTGGCATTGAAGTTCTTACTATTTAGATGGCAGATTGAAAAAAACCCCACAAAAACTTGTTCAAAACATGAATTGGATATGTATGTATTGAGTGCAGCATGCAATGTTCATGTCCAATTAGTCACTGGGTAACTTGAGGGATTAGAAGTAGTTTCTGCTACTCTCAAGGATCTTATACTGCAGGGGGGGAAAGTAGCAGGGGGGATAAGATAAACATACAAATGAGTATAATCCTAGGTAGAACATAATAATGTTAACAAAGGTATTTAGTATAACTGGGATTCAGAAGTGTCAGATGCCATTAGTTTGGGAGGACTGAAAAATGCCTGAGTCGGGAGGCATTGGGATGAGTTTTGAAGGAATAGGACTTGGACAAGCAGAGTTCTGGGAAGGGTGAGAAGGAAGGGAGAATTTTATTTCAACAGAAGATAAAATAAATAAAAGCAGAAGCACGCAGGCAGGTATGACCCTGGGAATGGGCAGGACTGACGCAGTCACTCTGAGTGCAGAGATCGCCGGCAGCAAGGGTAAGAAAGCAGACTGGGCTCATGTTAAGAAAAGGCTTAGTGTGCTATGAATGACAATAATAAGATGCCTGCAATTTTGCCTGCTGCTGTAGCCCATGTCCCTTTGATGGCACACCACCGCTGGGTGCAAAGCACGTTGGCAGTGGCACGATTTTGGGGAACTGAGTTGGCAGAGCATGAGCCATAGAGGACCCCGGGAGACTCTGCTCCAGCCCCCTTCCCGTTCTCTCCTCCCTTTGTCAAGGCTGAAAGACGGCCACTGCGGACCTGCATACATCCTGTGTGGCGCTCCTGCAGGGACACACTGAAGCAGGGCTCTTTCCAAAGTCACCAGTAGGAGGCTGAGGAGCGGCAGCATTTATTTAGAAGTCAGAGTTGTGTGTGTCTAGACGCCCCACAATGGAGCCTGGGTTCCTCAGGTGCCTCCAGGAAATATAAGTGCTCCCTGGCTCCTAGGATTAAAATCATTTAGCTGTAAAAACTGAACAAGTTAAAATAGAAATATTCCTCTCCTCAGCGGTTTATACTATAAAATACACTTATTCAAAACAACTAGTTCTTTGAGAAAAAATTGGCATAATTTGATTTCGATTTTCATCTATTCTCTGTATTTATAAAGCACATTAAAGTTTGGCTGATGAAGTTATAACATCAGGTCATTCTGAACTTTGCAAAAATAAATAATCTCTCATTTCTGGCTCTACACGAGTAATTAACCATATAATGAGAATTACCGGAATTTGTTATTATACTCAGTGGAAAATATTTTGAAAAAAACCTTTTTTTTAAAACCAAATTTGTTAAGGACCTGCAACATGGGTTCAAAAAAAGTTAAAAAGGCTATAAATCTAATAGAAATTTAAAGTTTTTATTGAAATTCAACCTATTACTATTTATATTAAAAATATGACAGGTTTAAGTCTTAAAAGATTGCTTCTTTTTAGGGCTTCCAACATAATTTTAAAGTAGCCTTTGGGACTCATCCTGCAGTTTACACAATAGAAGGATGATTTTTTTTACCTCAAGGTATCATATGTTGTTAAAAAGTGAATTACCAATTTTATCAAACCAGAAGTCAAGGTTTAGGAAGATACACACACACATGCACATACACTCAATTTTATTTTTTAATTTGTAAGGAATTACTTTCTTTCATATATTAACTATCTCCAGTTGCTGCCATTTGTGATTTGGTTTCCAAATGACAAGTTCTGTGTATTGCTGATAATACGTTATAGAATGTTACTCAAAATTGTAAGAAAAGCAATTATATTCAAATTGTTTTTAGCCTATTATTTTCGGTGCTTAAATTTTGAACCAACCTCAAAATTAAAAGTAAATTATCAATAATTTTTTCCCTGGGCCACTTGGAAGAAGTTGTTGAAATGATGCCCCATTACTTAAATACTTTAGTATGTATTTCCTGTAATAAGGACATTTTCCTACACATAAGCACATTCAATAATCAAGATGAGGAAATCAGGAAATTAACACTGATATATTATTACCATCTAACCCTCCAACCCACTGAGATTTGCCACTGACCTCAAATATCCTTTTTATAGCAAAATAATCTAGTTTAGAATTAAGTGTTGCATTTGGATGTCACATTTTGTTAGTCTCCTTATATCTGAAATAGTTCCTCAGTCTTTCCTTAATTCCCATCATTTAGACACTTTTGAAGATTCAAGGCCAGTTATTTTGTACAATGTCTTTCAATCTGGGACTTGTCCAGTGTCGCCTCATGTTTGGATTCTACAATATGCATTTCTGACAGGGATGCCACAGAAGTGATGCCACGTTCTCACTGCATCACACCAGGAACACATGATTTTTATTTGCTCCATTACCAATGATGTAAACTTTGCTCCCTGGATTAAGGTGGTGTATGTCCGACTTCATCAGGGGAATACTGTAAATATAATGCTCTTCATCAGATATTCAATTAATACATTCATTTATATCAAGCATGGATCCATGGTTTCCTATTTTATCTATTAGGTTGTAATCTGTTATTACCATTGTTTTGGCGTTCAGATTACTCAGTGGGAGACCCTTCAAGCTAGCTTCTGTGACCTTCTGACAGGTTTTCCTCTTTCTTACTTTCTACAAGGTTCTCCAGGCATTTCTTGTCCTTTCTTATTCCAGCCTTGGAATCAGCCACTTCTCCAAGGAGCGCTGGTTCCTTTCTTTTGGAGGATGGTATTAGAACCAAGATCTGAGCCCTGCATGCACTTATTGCTGCTCTCAGATCCTTTCTGTGGATATAGCTGATACATGTGTATATAATATATTATACATAAATACAGATACTTACATTTATCTATATTTCTATATCTATCTTAATGAATTGAACAGGATTAATTCACACTGATAACTTTCAACTCCAATACAATACAACAGGGTTTATTCTAGTGTTCTTTCTCAGCACATTGGTAACTCCCTTCTCCAGCAACAAGAAACCTGACTCCTATTATTTTTAGTACATGTACTTACTTGGTGCCCCCTCCGCCCAATCTCTCTCTGGCGTTGCCACTGCTGTACCTAGGGGACATCGTCATCACCCGGCCCGTGCTCCGCCACCCTGCACCAGGCCCACCCAAGTACAGAAACCCTTCTCGACCTGCCTGCCCAGCGCTCCTCAGGCCTGGCTGCCTGTGCTGGGGTTCCCCCTTCGCTCCGCCTGTGCACCGCCGTCCCGCGCGGGGCTGCTGCTTCTACCCTCTGTGTCTCCCGTTGCTAAGTGTGCAGTGTGTCTCTGACGCTCATTCCAGGCCACCCCCTTCCCACGGGCGATGCCCTTCTCACCCAGGCTGGGCTCTGACTCCCCACTCTGGACCGCTGCACACCTCTCCCCCCCACCTGCTAGTGCAGGTGCTCAACTCCTCGGCTCCAGCTAAGAGCTTTTTAGATAAAATTGTTCAGGAACTTAAAGAAAAGGCCTAGAATGGGAGGGGAGGGGGGGGGAAGGAAAGGGAAAGGAAAGCAGTATAATATGAGGGGGAAGTGCTATTTTATATATTCTTTGTTTAATAGTAAGAAAGAAATAATAAAAGTTATAACATTTTGACAATGGAGAGGCCTGATTTACTGAATTAGGGCCAGATGGAATAGCCCTTTATCATATATCTATAGACATGTATCTATATCCAGAGCTATAGATATATATGTAGACAAACATACATACACATACAACCAATAAGGAGAATGAATAAACCAGGTGTGAGGTCAGCAGCCAGCACTCCTCTCTTTTTAGCACACAGTAGGATTATATTTGCCTCCACTCTGCTTGAAATTAGGTTCAACTTTCGGTCATGATTGTATGAATTGTTTTGACAATGAAACATCAGTGGAAATGACACAAAGCCCTTCTGGATGGAATAATTTCATGCGGATGCTTTAAAATCAGCAGACAGACTCTCCAGCTAGCTCCTTCTACTGACATGGGGACTATGAAGCGGGGCCTCTATGGAGGTGCAAAGCTGAGACAGTTTGCAGCAGACAGGCTGCTCTGCAGAGTTACCCAACACGGGAGCAAAATTCCCACAAGCAAGGAAACGCTGTTCTTTTAAGTTACGAAACTTCTAAGCTATCTGTTACTGCAGCAAAACTTTGTCCTTAACATGAGGTTATATAATCTTCATATAACGTTTAATGGAGAACTTCTGACTGAAAAAAATAGAAGTATAGATTGCTGCATTTATTTTGTAAATCCAGATAAATAATTTGTACACGAATTTGCCCAAAGTCTATTTCACCAGAAATTCGTGTAATGTTATGTCTAAATGCTCTAGTATATATAATTTTACTTAAGGTTATCATAGTAATTTTCTGATCCACAGAAAATAAGGAACACTTATCACACATACAGAACACTAATTCTTGGGGAATCGTAGAAAGACCTACTTTTGTTTAGCATTATGAAGGGTTGTCTAATGGCAGGGAAACATTTTAAACTTCCTGCAAAGATAGTTCCTAAATCAATTTTTTAAAAATCTCAGAATTATAAAAGGCTCATTTAGAGGAAGATAAAAAATGTGTAAATGTCCAGCAAGTAAAAGGTTTTAAATAAGTATTTTTTGAAGGACAGACTCTTCATTAAATATTTCACATAATTATACCAGTTTTTGTACCTGTTATTACTAGAGACACATTGCAGCAGATTCCCCACTGACACGGCTCTTCTGTGGTTTCCATTTAAAGTTATGTTTTGAATTTAGGGCCTTATGATTTACTCTATAAACATCTATGATTTTCCAGCACGGCTTTCTTAGGATGCAGCTACTAGACTTAATTAAAAATTATCGAAGTCTCACCCTTTCACACTAAGTGGATGATACATATCAAAGAGCAATCATAAATTTCTGCCTTTAAAGCGTTCCATGACCTTTCAGCGTGAAGCATCATGTCTGAGAAATAATGATCTGGTGAGTTCTGCAAGCATGGCAAAAATCTCTGCCATGTGACTCGAGGGGCGAAAAGTCACTCATTACTAGTCACACAGCAAGTGTCTGCGAAGTATAATGGATTTATAGGAAGCAGGGTGACCACAGATCTAATTTTAATGAAGTTCGAGACATGATCTGAGCTGATAGAGTTTGAAGTCTGAATATAATCTATACAAGGTTAGAGTTATTGTTTGACAACACAGAGAATACAATGTTCTCTCTAAAATTTTCTACTAGGTTCCACACATACACTTTTTTTTTTATAGCAAATAGATACATTTATATTAAGATGACAGGAAAAAAGTTTTTAAACATTTTACAGAATATTTGAAATTTTCCCATATGTTGGTTGTTTTAAATATATTAATTTTTTTCTTTCATGACTTAAGGCCAAGGAAGATATATTTTTGCATAGATATTACATACACAGATAACAAGTTCAATCAAATAAGAATACTCTCTGGTTGCCATCACTAAAATGTTTCATAAACAGAAAGATAAAATAGGCAGCCTGAAAACTCCTCCAAAATTAAGTATTTGGGAGTATACATAGAGAAATACATGCTTACTATGAACAAAAATTACTATCTATCATGAACGAGAAGAGTCACTCAGCTTCCTAACATTTAAATGACACACCTATAATATTCTTGAGACAGAACATGCCTTAATGTGCCGGAAGTTGATTTACTTCTATGTTTCCCTTATTCCTGTGTTATTTTCCAGAGAGACAAAATTAAGTATGACATTGTATCAGCAAGTCACACAGAGGCCAAATTAGCGTTCGGACATAAGCCTGAGAGGCAATTACGAAGAGCCTTGTACCTCTTGACAGGGAAGCAAACACAAGTGAGGTTGGAATATATGACAAACATGCTTTAGGCACCCAGTATGGTGAAGTGATTGAACAGCAACATATTTTAAAAATGAGCACGATCTATTATATGTGAGACTTATGGATCTCAGAGCCCATGGTCAGAAAACTGAATGGCTGAAAATTCATGTAATCTTCAGTCAAGCAATAGCCATGCTGGCATTTATTTTTAAATTAAGTTTATTACTGAACACACATGCCTACTGATGAGAAGTTGGAGTGTGATTTCACAGAGAAAAACTGAAATAAAGAAAACCCAATGAAACCTGACATCTGGAATTTTGGGAGCTATTTTCAGACCTTTTCACAAGTTTAATGCTTTGAACTAGAAAGAATTTGAATTATTAAGTGAGTTCACTTTTAAAAGTCCTTCTTTTTTTATTAAAGATCTGGTTTCAAGATTACTTTGGGGAACCAAAGCAAGATGTCCAGTATGTTAACGCATATAAAAATCTTAGATTGCTGGATTTGGGGAAGTCGATTGTTCTAGAACATCATCTTATCCAGGAAAGACAAAGACAATGCATGCCAACTTCGGAAAGGGACCCAAGTGCCTTCTGAAGCTGGTGACCTTACCTTCCTCTCCCGCATAGGCCAGGATGGACCGCGCTCGGATCTGTTTCCCTTCTGTGGTTTTCCCTGAGCAGGTGTGTGAGCAGGAGGACCAGGCAGACCACATGCTGAGCACACAGTCCCTTGGGCACGGGGCATAACAGGCGACGGGGATGGGGAAGATGGCATCTCTGCACAGCTGTCTGTCAACTTCTTCTCCTGGGAAAGACATCATCACCAACAATCTATCATTTTTAAATAAATGTAAAATGAGCACTTGAAACCAGATGGGCACCAAGATAAATTAGGTTACTTCCCTTTTGTTCTTAGGTAAAAATAAAGCCAAAAGAGTGACCGGCCAGATGTTAAAAGCACACCGGAAAATGAAAGAAGCCTAATTTAGGGGTGGATATCTATCTGCCTAATATCTTCTTTTATTGTATGAACCTTAGGTGTGTAGACCAAGCACACTGTTGAAAGTATTTTTATGCTGCAGATACTTTCCCAGTAAGTGATTTTTATACTTAAAATATTATGCTTACAACAAGGAGCATCAGTGAAATATGTTTCCCTCTTTATTTCCTTATTGGAGATAAGCCATCATTTATAAATAATGACTCTATCCATAGCATGCACCATATGTTTTCATGAGCCGACTCATATGCATCTCTATTTGCAAACACTCTTGTGCCTCCCAGAGACTTTAATCGTGTACAATTCGCAACCTTTCCTTTCATTAAAAAAATTAGTTCATTAATTGGCAATAACCAGAAAATGTAAATGATAGGATAGCATTATAAAATCACTGTTTAAGGCGCTCCCTTTGGGGGAGGCAGAGAAAAATGACAAAGTAAGGAAATGGCAGAAGTAAGATGATGTCACTTAAGTACTTAAAACTCTTCAGTGGTTTCCTATTGCTCTTAAGAGAGAGATTTTTAAAAAGTTTACAATATCTCAAATGGCCTGGTTTTTGTGTCCCTTTTAGCTTCATCTCACTCCACTTCCTCCCTTGCCCTTGAAGCTGTAGAGACTGGAACTCATTTAGTATTTGTTGAGTGAATACAAAGAGATATACAAAAGGCCAATGAGAAAGAAAACGGTTGCTGTTAATAAATGCCAGGGATAACCAAAAGAATTACAAATAAATAACCAGAACAGAGCATGGAAAAAGTCTGAACTCTGTGGCTTAGCTGGTAAATGTAGGGTGCTAATGAGGTCAATGGAACAAAGTGAAATAATACACAAACAAGCACAAATGAACCTGTTATTTTGCCACAGAATATAACCATAATCCTGGATGAATATATCATAAATGTGTGCCTGGAGGTGACAGGCATTCAGGTGATGAAAGGTCACTGACTATGCTACTCCATCACTGTTAGAAAAACTCAGGGCTGTTTCTCACTGATGGAAGGTTAGGGGCACCAATTTAAGGTATAATCCCTTATTCATATATCTGAAAAACAAGACAGAAAATCAGAAGTCAATTGGACATGCTCTAACACATTAATGTTTACTAGTTTTCAGGGTCTTAAATAATTAGACAAAATCAGAAGTCAATTGAAATGCACTTACATGTTAACAGCCCCTAGTTTGCAAGCCTTAAATTATTAGGCATACTCACTAGTGAGTAAGACTTGCTAAAGTGACAACTGAGTCATTACACTATCACCCATTCTTCTTTAGTTACTCTGATCTGTGGGATCTCTTTTAATTCTGTTTTTATTGGCTTTAGGGTTTTACTTATATTCCAATAAGACAATACAATAGATTGTGGATTTATAGGTATATAGGTAGAGTACAAAACTCTATAACTGATATAATAGTGATGACTATTTTTCCTACTGGACTTTTTTCTTAGTGCAAGGAGGGGCTTGCATATGTCTTATTTGCTTCATTGCTATCTTTTATTGCTCCAGATACTCTCGTTCATTCAATTTCCTATATTCTGTGGAAAGTAAGGCAAGTTTGGAGCTACAGTTTATAGTCAATCGGGAATTATAGCTTTATGTCTTCTCTAATAGTTAATCATTTCTACTCAGAAAATTTAATTATCCTGCAGCAATTGAGAGTGTGCTACATGTGGATTTAAATATAGTATTTTTTTATTGATTGATATTTAGAGGGGCACGGGGAGAGAGATACATCAATTTGTTGTTCCACTTATGTAAGCATTCACAGGTTGCTTCTTGTATATGATCTGACCAGATAAAAGGAAAAAAATTTCTCCTGGAAGTGCTATAATGCAGTTATGCTGAGCTATTTTACAGTACTAAATGAGAGAAATTACAAATAAATTATATATTAGGGTCATTCTGAAGAGTTATCAATACAATGAACAAAATAGTGACATTTATTATGATCTATTGACTTATTTATTTTAACTTTAAAAGCTTATGTAAATACAGAGTTCCACATCAAACATGTCAGTAGAATTCTATTTACTCTGTAATAAAATACAATTCATGTCGTGATCTCTTCAGCCTCTCCCTCCAACACATTAAGCATCTCGCAGGTTCTAGCCCCGCCCGTCCCTCACGAAGCTTCCAGGGCTCTGGACCAGGACCGCTGGGTGGCTTCTCCTTTGGTTTTGCTTTTTTGCTCTTTTGTTGTTGTTGTTGTCCGGGTCTTGGTTACCTCACATTCTCTCTCTGAGGAGGTCTCACGTTTCCAATCTGTCCTGCAAATTATCAACCAAACAGTCTGCCAGCCACACTGCTGTGACTACATTACACCCTCAAATGATTCCCTGTAGCTCTCCAGATCACACATGCATTCATGGCTGGTGTGTTTTAAGACATTTCACCATCTGCCCCCACTTGACATACCTTGTCTAACAAAGTCCATTTCCCATGCTCTGGGTATATTTGCAACTAGACTAGGCTCAGGGGACCTCACTGACTAGAAAAGAATGACGCTGAGCTTTTATCAACTCTTCAACACTAGGTTAAAAATAAATTTTATTTTTCAAATTTTCTTGTTTAAAACATCTTTCCCCACCTTTCTGCATGCCTCACCTTTTGGAATTTCTTTTCATATTATCGTAAATAAAAAGAAAGTACAGTGATTCTACAGACAGCTATTACAAGATCACAATGTGCAAATAAGTCTACAGAATAATGAAAAAAATTATTAGAAAATTTTTTAAATAAAGCGACATTTACTTTGGAATTTTACCCAAATTAAGAAGACCAAATGACAGCGATATTATGTTTATCACATAACAACATTCACAAATAAATATAGTGTAAAATGTTGGGTGATTGATGGAGACTGTGGATGGATGAAATGATTAGAAATGGCACAGTTCATAAAGAGAGACATTTTGAAGGCAGTGAAATTTGAACAGAGTTTTGAGGAAATTAAAGCTAAGTGATCAGAGATGGGAAAAAGAGAGCAGTAAAATATGGGAGGCTGGTCTATGTGGGAAGCCTTTGAAGCAAAAACTACTTCAAAGAATTAATCATCACCACTAAATCTTTCCAAGATTTTCCACTCTGTTCTGTGATGAACCTCTGAGTAGAAACACTGAAAATTTGGACCCTACAGACCAGACTGAGAGCTACAGGCAAGGAAGTCACAGTCTGCCCCCTTTAATCTTCATAATTATCATGGAATGTCTGCTAGCAAATCATAGGAAATGAATCCAAAAGAAGATGAATTTTCAATGATGAGGAAGTATTATCCTATTAACTGGTCTGAAAGCTGTTTGCTTCCACACTGAAAATCATGAATGTGTTAGGAACTCCCAGCTCATTTCACCAACAGTTAACATTTATAGTAAGTTGGTCAGGCACATCTCAGAGTTAGTAGCAGTCATAAGAGTTTGATAAAAATGTATTCAGCTGATGGAGAAAGGGAATCATCAGTTCAGCAACTGAGATAGAAAGTCTCTGTTAAAATCAAACAAAAGCAAACCATGACTAATAAATACTTAGAGAAAGAAAACCTGAGAGTTCTATAAAACATTTATGTCTGTACTGATGAAAGAGTTGGTTAGTCTGAAATGGGCCAAAATGGAACCCAGGAACTAGTCAACATATGTCAAAATTAAAGGACAAATGTGAACAAGAATCTGTGAAAGTATTTTTAAAAGTTACTCTAGCTCACAGTTTTCTAAATTTGGTGGTGGGGGAGTGGGTTCTAAATATTCCCATCTTCAGGTCCAATAAGAGAACTAAACTGCTCCATTGGATCTACAAAGCAATATTTTAGAAATGTTCATACAAAAAGGATCCTTAAGGAAGGGGAGCTGTCCAAGACAGTGATGTAGGAAGATTCTAACTCACTTCCACAGATACACTAAATCTATAGCTCCGAATGACACAATGCCCTCTGAATACAACCTGAACACTAGCTGAAGAGCTGTTTCACATCAAACAAGAAAAGGGCCACACTGAGGTGGGTAGGAGATTGAGATGGAGTCTCACCAAAAACCCCATCCCGAGAGCAGAAACTCACACTCAAAAGGGATCTCACAAATCCAGGGCTTCTCCCTGAGAAGCAAAGGGTTTGCACCCCACATCAGACATCTAAACTCTTAAGACATGTATCTGAGAGATGAACACCCGAAACATCTGGCTTTGCTAACCAACAAGACTAGTGTCCATGAGACCCAGCGGTAGGAAAAGTGAGAGACTGCTCTTGAAAGGATCATGCATAGACTCACGTGCCCCAGGGCTCAGCACAGAGGCAGCACTTTGGAAAGCGCCCAGGCTATATGTGAAGGTTCTAATTTGCTAATCTTAAAGCATCTTCTAGAGGCAGGAGCCTGTGTGATTCTTCGGGCACAGAGGAGTCGACAGGTGCCATTTTTCTGCCCCCCCCCACCTTTCTAAAGTCAGCAGGTGCGAACCATTCCTGGCTCTTCCTCTACCTTGTTAAAGCTGCAGGTGCAATCCTTGTACTCTTCCTTGCCGAGCTCCACAATGCCAGTATCTCCCAGAGGAGAGCTTTCACACACACCTGATGTCCTGATTGTTTTATGTCTGGTGCCCCAGGTTTCGCAGTGGCAGCCGAGGGGACACTCCTTGAGTGCCTGGCTCTGTGTTCTTGGGGCCCATGGGACTGTAACAATCAGAAAGATAGTTCTTGGCACACTACTGCCTCCCCAGGGCACTGCAGAAAGCAGATTGAAATACACTCCCAGTCATTCTGTAAAAGAGATCAGTTTACTTAGAACTTCAACGTGAGGGGCAGGCTTTAGGTCTATCACACAT